CCTGGCGCTATACACTGGGGGTTGCTACATTTCTAAGGAACTCAAAAGAACAAAGTTATCATCTCATCGCAATTGGGAGGTATAAAGCTAAGCAGATACACACAAATCATAATGCACACAATCATAATGTGTGCAATTTTCTTTATGTTTCATTTATTTATTATCTAGCCTATGTGTAAGCCAGAGTATGCCCAGCTGGGTTAATTACTTTGAGGTTATCCATAGTTACAATATGGTTCCCTTTCTACAAAATGGCTTTCCTTATGTCAAGCTTGTGTTGAGCCAGTATCATCGGTAGTACATTTGCAAGTAGACTTCATACAAAAATCGACTTCAGAAAAATAATCCTCTTGAGAGTCCTAAATAGTAAATAAAAGACAGTTGTGAAAAGTCAAATAAGGCAAACTCTCCAGATATTAAGACATTTACCTACTACTACAGTGTCTAAATTCCACGCTCCTTCTTATTTTTTTCCCTGAGTTTCTTTGAAAAAATTCCATATTATCGGGTTCTATCTGCTTTTTGTTTCCATGTCTACCATTTGTACACAATGTCTCTATTTTTTTCTTTTAACACTTTTTTGGATTGTTTATACACTTATGTTCCCTGCATACTTTCAAATGATCTAAGAATTTACAGTATACCTTTTAGCAATACTTAGTCCTAACAGTGGTTAAATGCCAGTTGTTATCTCCACTTAGAATTAATTAATTTGTGAAAGATAGTTTCTGATACAGAGACAAACACACTCTTCTTTTTCCTTAAAGTGGACTTTAAAAATACTTCCTTATGTAGAGTCCAATTTCTTGTTTTGTGTAACTCTAGTCACTCTTTCATACTCTAGCATTTATTATTTAGCAGAAAACAAACTGATTTTATTTTTATGGCCTGTTTTCTTAGAAAATATTAAAGATTCAAACAGCAATTGAGAGAAAACATTTTATCCATAAGGTTATATAAAATATTCATTAAGATAAAATAGTTAATCCTTTTTGAGCACTGCTTACCTTATCTCTTTCCTTTAGCATTCACAATGTGAATTTTGATATATATTTGCAAGAGGCACATTTGATAAAGGACTTTTCTCCAAACTGCACAAAGAATTCTTAAAAGTCTAGGCTTAAGGAGATGAAATAGAGGGTGGGAAACTATTTTAATTGGAGGGAATGGAATTGTGTGAACAAAGGTAATGAGTAAAGTTGAGTTTTGGTAACCCTCATTTTCAGATTTCTTCTGAAATGTTAGTTCTGAGTTTTATAATTTATCAGTGACTTGATTTGCATATCTGTAATTTCTCCTTGATGTCTCTGGGTAGCCATTGCCCAGAAACCCAGCAGAAGCTACCCCCAGTGAAATAATTGAATATTTATAAGCTTCAGACATGCTCTTATCAAGTTATTCATCCATCAGAATCTTCCCTCTTACCATGGGATCACGTCTGTCATTGACAATATTAAAGAAAGGCAACACCTGTAATAGTATTCCCTAATACTTTTGTTTTCAGTGGAAAAAAAAAAATCATTCCCTCTAAATTTGCACCAAATGAATGATTAAGAATTACTCATTTGAGAACTTGTTGATACAGAATTTAACTCACTATGATGAATGAGAAATGCCTTTGTGAATAAACTTATTTTGCTTTCCCCCTCAAATGACCAATTTATTGACAATCAATATAAAAAGAGCTATTGCAAAGAACAGGTACCAGGATGGACAAGTTTACTTTTATTTGCTTTGGCGGCAATTAGCTATCAACAGACAGTGACGTTGTAATAACTAATTTGTACCCGGCTTTGGGCTGAGCACTTTGGTCAGATTTGTTCAAACATCTCCTCAGGGAGAAACTGAGGCCCAGGAAGATCTAATTATGTCTTCAGTAAAGGTGGGAAAAGGATTTGAACATGAGCAGCCAGATTCTAAAGGTCAAGCTACTAAGTTGCCCTGCTACTTAAGTTTAATTGAAATATTGTCTAAGTTTTTTGAGTTCCTTTGTAATTCTAAGGTTGTTGAAAATATAATTAAAATTACATATGGTTTTCAATAGCCTATTAAACCAAATAGCCAAAAAGTAAACAATTAGTAAAAATGTACAATATTTGATTCTTTAAAATATAATAACTATGGACCTTATTATATATCTGAAAATATGCTAAACACTTACATGTGTTTTCCTGATTTAAACCTTACAACAACTTTAAATAAATCTGAAATGTATTTAATTGAACTATGGCAATATTGAGATTAGTCAGGCTGAAAATGCAAAAACCAAAATATACAGTTGTTTTATTAACACATTTTTTTAGTATGTATGGGAGAAGATCTTACTATTTGAGTTTCATTACCTTTGAGTTTTCTAGACAACCACAAAGTTCTTACAATATTTATACATAAGGATTTATTGACAAAATTCAGTGGATTTGTGATACAGATCTACAGCTATAATTTTTGTGAGTATTGGATCTTGATGACCAATGATAAATTTGGTTTTATTTTTAAACAAATTTTATATTATTCTAGTAGTATACTGCAGGAAATCTCAGTGGTTAAGTATCCAGATATTAGTTAGGATGGTGAACTACTTTTAAGGCTATTTTGTTATACTTCATGTAACTCCTTAAAATGATGGAATATTCAAGTCTATATATTCTTTATTACTGAACTGAACTTTTTGGGTTTACCTTTTGCTTGCTAGAAGTTCCAGTTCTTTGCTTTATTTTGAAGTACTGAGGGAGTACCCTATATTAAGTGCAAATTTCGTAGCTCTCTCTTTTCTCTCTATAATTTCTTTAATTGCTTTTAGAAGATAGCCCTTTTCTCACACATATTTGAAACTTTTATATTATTTTAATTTTTTGAAGATTAGTTGCTTTAAATATATCATAAATAGATATAAAACACTCTCCTTAGAAAATATTGTAATAATCATGATCCAGTTCATAAGCTGCCCCAGACTATTTAATGAGTTTAGAGAACATGAGTCATTTTCAGAGTGCAAATGAGCTGAAGAGCAGACAAAGCTCAAGGAGGAGTTGGAAGCTTAGTTATCAAAAAAAAAAAAAAGGGAAATAAAAAAGCTGTCTTTCAAATATGATGTCTTTACTTGGGTCTCAAATGGTAAATGACTCTAGTTAAAGTGGCATGTTTCTTCAGAGCCATTTGCCCATGCCACGAGAGAGAGTCAGTAAGTCCACCTGTGACCTGGAGCAACAGGCATTTGATTCAGTTCAAGGGAGTAGTTATGTTGAAGCTATCTGAAAAAGACTTCAGAATAAATATGATTGAATACTCAGAGATATAAAATAAATAATTGCCTGCTTGAAATGTGATCAGGTCATTATTAGCAAGAACAGTCAGATGTTTTTATAAAATAATTCAATTCATATGTGCAAGTAACAGGTATAATGGACAGAACAATAAATTCAGTAATGAATCCTTCCTACTCTAAAGGAACTTCCTGTATGATCCAAAAAACAAAATACAATTATTTTGCTATTCTCATTTGAGGGAGACTGTTAACACTGATTAAAATAGATAATTAAGATAAAAGCAGTAAGAAGATAGATTCTTCTAAGAAGGAAGGAATAAATGCTGCCTAGAGGGATTTGGCAAGGCTTCATGGGAAGAACTTGAGCAAAGGCATAATCACGTTCTTTACTTATTTAGTCAGGTACTGGTGTCCATATGTTTTAATATATGAGAAAACTGAGACTACATGTTTAATATTGAAGCTCTTACGTGCAGAATCCAAATTTAATCAATATTTGCCTAAACTTTACTTTCTTCCCATTAGAGCAAGCTGCTTCAAAGTCTCTGAAGAATAAATTAAAGTCCAGGTAAAAAACTTTGGGGGCAGATGGAAGTCGGCATCCAGGTACAGAAAAGGAAATGCAGTTAGAAGACCATGTGTGACTATTTCAAAATGACTAAAAAAAAAGAGGAGAGCCTAAGCAACTTGGAGGGAAATAAAAATATAACAACCATAATTTTAATAATATGTAGATTATGATGTATTTCTCTTTCTTTAACCATCTATTTTAATCATATTACATGCTTCCCAAATGGAAAATTTAAGGACAGAAGAGTTATGCCTTTATAAATTCATTACAAGTTTTTCATCAAACACTTAAAACAAGAGAAGCCAGCTAAACTGTCTAAGGTATAACTTTTAATTCTACCATGGGGAAAATAAGAATGAGGAGGAGGATTAGGGGGAAAAAACACCCTAATAGGAACTAATAGGAAATTAGCAACTACTATTCAACAAAATTTCAGATAAACATATTGAGATTCCTAAGAAAAAAAATTTAATTGTGGTTGTTGATGAGGCAATTACAATCTAAGTGTTGCTCTATGTGGGTTAGGTTCTCAATAAATGTTTGGGGAAATAAATTGAACTGAATTTACTTTCATTTAATTATCTGCCACAAGAAAAAAAAATTAAAAAAAGAAACATTAGCAAATAAGAGAAGACAAGAGTGAAGGGATTCTAATCTATTATTATTACCTTAACAAAAGAATATTCCCTACCTTGTCCTGAATCATTACTCCTACGTCTTTATTGCTTAAAGAATGAGAAGTAATACTTTTAGAGGAACTCTGTATCATCAAGTACTTTTTACAAAATGTGTTTGAGAATTGGGACAGGGTCAAAGTTAGCTTTTCCATTAACTGTGAGAAAGTTATTAGACAAATTAAAAGAAACAATTTTAAGGGGAACGCTTACCTAATAAAGAGAATAAAACTTTTTAAGGCATTTCTGAAAACTCATTTACAGAAAAGTAATAAAATTGTACTCTGTCAACTGGCCTGCACAGATTAAGTTAAGGCTTTCATTTCTGATTTCCATTCAATTGTTAAAACAGGTTTCTTAGCAACAGTCACTATGCATACCTGTATGAACTAGAGATTTGTTTCTCTCTATATATATATCATAAACATTTTTTTTATTTGAATCTCATCTACTCACCAAATAAGTATACGATGGCTCAAACAAATTCTTTGTTTAAGGGGTTTTGCTCATTTAAACTGGTGAGTTGGGTCAAATTAGATAGTTCACATTATACTGTTGTGATTAACTGCAATTAAAATATTCTACCCTTAGATTGGATGCGGTCTGTGGCAAACCCAAAGTGAACATGTGATGGTTCACTCTGAGAGGGTGTATCTCCCTAAAATGATCTAGACTTTTTAGAACTGGTTCATGTCTTCTCCGAAAATGTCCAAGAAATGTAGGAGTGGTTTCATTGTCAGTTCCTTGATCATCATTTCTTATAAATGTCTCCTAATTGCTATATTGGGCAAAATCACAATAGAAAATGGTAGTTGGTGTCTCATATTTATCATTCATCAGGCACGTAGATCAGTCAGTCACATAAAGGTAGGACATCAGGGAAACACCAGCACCTAGTACTAGACCTACCGTCTTGGAGTCTGACCAGATGTGGGAAGATGCTGCAGATATTTAGCTGAGAAGAAAATGTTCAAATAAGTTTCAACAGTACTCCGGAAGAAGGCAGTAAGCTTTCTGAGGATAACATCCTGAAAAAGGGGAGTACCAAATCTCACAAGGTGAAGGGTAAAAACCAAATGCCAGAAAATAGTGAATGAGAGCCAAACAAGAGCACCATTTTGTGCAACAGGGCCTGGCTATGTGTGCCCATGGTTTGTTCTTCAGGGCTTTGTGTGGGAGCTTTGCAGTTCAGGTACTTTAAAGTTGAAGGCTATATATATTACAACTTGGTCCCAGAACTAAGCATACATTTATACATTAGAAAGAATTTTTTTTTTTATCTGGGAAGAAATACAAATTAATCAATAATGTGGAAAGAGAGAGGAAGGAAGGAATACAGACAAACACACAAGATTCTTTGCAGAGGCACATATATCTTATCTCATTTCATCTTTATAACAACACTCACTGTTACACTGTTAGATGGGTATTATTTTCCAAATTTTATAGAAGACAAGGAGTCTCAAATTTTATAGAGACAAGGAAGACAAGACTACCATTTTTTACTGTGATATTTTGCCCAATATAGCAATTAGGAGACATTTATAAGAAATGACGATGAATGAACTGACAATGAAACCACTCCTACACTTCCTGGGCATTTTCAGAGAAGACATGACCCAGTTCTAAAATGTCTAGATCATTTTCAGGAGATACACCCTCTTGGAGTGAACCATCACACGTTTACTTTGGGTTTGCTACAGACCACATCCAATCTAAGGGTAGAATGATGTTTTAATTGCAATTAATCACAATATTGTAATATGAACTAAATTGACCTAATTAGACAAAATTTATAGAACACAATATTTATAGAGGACAAGATTCCTAACCTGATTGCACAAGGTGAGAGAAGGAATTAGTATATCACCCTAGTTCACTCTGTCCAAAAAATTAGTGTTCTTCATGCTGTATTTCATTGCATCTCAGTGGTGGTTGATTTATGGAATATAAACTATATGTCAATGTTATACTGAACTGACTAAATAAATGAAATTTGCTTACTAAGTTTGCATGCAAGATATTGGATTTTGGTTGATAGATATATAGAAACATGAAACAGAGAGATAGACACATTATTTTATGTGTGCATTGTGTAAGTTCTTGAATTTTAAAACACGTTACCAAAAAAACTTAAACTTACAATTAAAAATGACCTATGTGTGTATAGTGATTGATTATACAAAGATAGACTTCTGTTTGAATCAGATTTGTAAGTTATAACACATGCTCTAAGTAGTAACTAGAAGTAAGGTGATCAATTGTGCCAATTTTGTCTAAGACTGAGGAATTTTCCAGGCCTCAGGACTTTCAGAACTAAAAGTGAGAAAGCCCTCAGCAAACCAGAAAGAGCTGATTATCCTAAATAAGACATTCTTAAAAGCCTAAATATGTTCCTTTGAAGTAGAACTATTTAACTATTATATAGATAGAGAGAATAGGATCTGTGCGTTGAAGTCAATATAATATTTAAGTAGCAGATGCTGGGTGCAAAACAACATCCCAGGTCTTTGGCAACACAGAGGTGAATAAAACTAGCTTCAAGTAATTTAAAGGGCCTTGGGTAAGAAACACAATCACATGCACAAAAAGTATATAAGCTGTCTTACATTTGCCAAAATATACATAAAAACTGAATGCTGTGTAGCATCAAAGAAGGATTTGTTCATTGCAAAGATTAGCAAAAATGCAAATAAAGAAGAGCTTTAAAAAATAGCATTCAGTTTACTTGGAATGATTGAGAGAAGATGAAGGAAATTCCAAAAACTGATGATAGTTCCACTTAAAAATGGCACCATGAGGAGCTCTACAGATAGACTTCCCAGTGAAACAAGCATAAATAGTGAAAATTATTTTTTAAAAGATTAAAAACAACCATTTACTGTTTCTGGAAAATTTCCAAAGAGCATACAGCAAATGAAGACACATTTATTCAAGAAGAGCTACTAAACCATGATAAGAACAGCGAGAGAGGTGCCACTTGACCCAGGATCTGCTCTCTCCCTCCCACTCCCATCTCCTGGCTCAGCATGATAGAAAATCCACTCTGGGCAGGATTTGGTTGAAAAAATATGGCTCCTGTCTCCTCACCTCTCAATCAAGATATTATATCATATCTCACCAGGAGGGACAGGATGCCAACATTTCTCATCCCCTCCACTCCAAGTTTTCAGAGGCTTAAATTACTGGTGAGTGTGGTTGAGAAGTTGGCAGCTTACTTCCTCCATCCAAACCCACTCATAGGGCACAGGCAGGATGATAATATGGGGCCCAGTCACTCTTACCTCAGGTTGCTAGTTCCATTTCTAGAGAGTCAGAGCAGGAAGACCATCTTGCCTTCATCCAGTGCCAGGAGAAGTGGCTCAGTAATTTCCCAGTGTAAAAGAAAGTCCATAAGAATAGAGAACTCTGGGGGCTGGCCCAGTGGCGCAAGTGGTTAAGTGCACGCGCTCTGCTGCGGCGGCCTGGGGTTCGCTGGTTTGGATCCCCGGTTCAGATCCCGTGTGCGCACCGATGCACCACTTGGCAAGCCATGCTGTGGTGGCAACCCATATAAAGTGGAGGAAGATGGGTGTGGATGTTAGCCCAGGGCCAGTCTTCCTCAGCAAAAAAAGAGGAGGATTGGCAGATGTTAGCTCAGAGATGATCTTCCTCACAAAAAAAAAAAAAAGAATAGAGAACTCTGAAACTTTCCCAAAATATTTGATTTCTTTTATTTTTTCAGCTTTAATAGACATAAAATAATAAAAAGTATTAATTGAAATGATATTTTATTGGCTTTTTAACTATATAGATGTAATATATGTAACAACATATGTAAATATGTGTATACACATATAACACATGTATAATAGAACATAGCTACATCAGAGCAACATTTCTATATTTTATTGGAATTAAGTTAGTATGAATTTGAATCAGACAAGTTAAAAGATGTATATGGTAAAACCTGGAGCAGATAACAAGAAAATAACTCAAAAATAGTATAAAAATCATTAAAGGATTTAATATTACACTAGAAAATTGTTCACTTAATGCAAAAGAAAGTAGCAGAGAAGAAATCCAGGAACCTAACACATTGCAATTTTTATCCTTTAGAAGTGAAATTTCCAGATAATTGGAGCTTACCCCATTAAATGAAAAAAATCTGAACTAATAAGTTAAAATTTGTCTTAAAAACTATCACTTTATTGCATAACTCTGTGAATATACTAAAACGATTGAATCATTGGGTTTAAATGGGGGAATTGTATGGTATGTAAATAAAGTTATTATTTAAAAAAAAGCTTAAAGAGAAATTAAGCATATATTTGAAAATTGAGAATTTATTGCAGTGCTTGGAGTAGAGTATGTTTGTTGAGGTCAGAACAAGAGAGCTAGTAGGAAATAATGACTGGAAAGTACTGTATTCTACGCACAGTAAGAGAAAAAGATTTCATTCTATACAGGAAATAGTAATAGAATCTCAGCCTTGTAAGGTACCTTCAGAATCTCCCACCATGCTTAAATTTGTTCTGCCACATCTGCACCAGGTATTTCGATAATCGATTTTTGATTACTCCTGGTGCTCACTGTTTCCTGAAGAAACCCATTATGACCTTGTACAGCTCTGACATCACAGCGTTTGTTATATTTAACTGCGGTCATAATTTCTGTAGATTTCATTCTCCTGTTCTAGCTCCATTCCACTGAAACATAACAGGTCAATCTGACGCCTGCTTCGCATGAGTATCCTTATCAAATTAAAGGCAACCAGCATGTTCTTCTTGTGTCTTTGTTCTTTCAGCCTGCATTTCCCTAGTTGTTTCAATGACTCCTCACAACCCATTGAATCAAATCTCTACAGGCCTGGTCACTCTCTTGGTCTCTTGGCAAAATTCTGGTGTACAGGAAATGCTTACAGCCTTGCCCCTTTCAAATACATCCACCATATGCCTTAAAAGTGATTAACTTTTAATCCATACCCTAATTGCACGCTCGATGGTGTTCATTACCCACAGGATTGTGTCCAGCCTCCTTACTGTAATTTATGAGGCCTTCTTGACCTAGATTACTTATCTTTTTTCACGTTATTGTGGCTCAGATATTTTTTCATAATTCTCAGCAGCTTATAGTTTTCCATGCAAACCCCATGTTTTCGCTACTGCTGTTGTATCTTCCTGAAATAACTTTCCCCTTTCCTCACTTTGTCTGCCTCGCTTTTCTCCTGAATAATTCTTATACAGTCTTCTAATGTCAGCCAAACCTCATGTGCAGAAAGGTTTGCCTGAATCAATAGGTTTTCTTTGCTTGTTTTGTTTTGTTTTGTTTTTTACATTGATTTTATTGAGGTATAATTATACACAGTAAATGCACATATTTTGACTGTACCCTACGATGAGTATTGTCGCATTTACACTCCTGTGTAATCACCTTTGCAATGAAGATATATAGTCTACAGCCATACTACCCAGAACACTTCCGATCTCGTCTGAACCAATAGATTTTTGAACTAGGTGTCTTCTTTGTCTTTCTGTAGTATCTTCTCTGTCCTTATATCAGACGTTGAAATAGTCTGTTATATGTGTCTCCCCAACTAGACTCTTCATTGGTGGGCATTGTACATTACTTATTTTTATATGTTGCAACCCTAGTACAGTGTGCATGGTGGGCACTCAGCAAATATTTAGTAAATTGTACAATTGAACATAGTTAGTCTACACCAACAATATTTCTGTAAATGCTGTAGTCACTAAGGAGGTTCATCCTCGTATGGAAAAATGGGAAGATTAATAATACTCATTTTTTAAGCTTTTGTAGCTATTTAATAAGTTAATATGTGTAGGTATTTATATTGGTATCTGGCACATGGTAATATTTTGAAATGTCTGTTATTATTATGATTGAAAATATATGTTTGAAAAATAATCTTACCTATATCAGTCTATTTGTCTACTGTTATATAAATATTTATATAAATGCAATGTGTGTTTTTTAATTCATGTTCTTGGATTTTTTAGTCCAGCTGTCTCATGTAAAGAAGGCAACATCTGTTATTATCGAGAAGGTTAGCTAATAAAGAAGACAAAGAAATATTATTAGCCAAAGTCACTTGTTTTTTTAGAAAGTTGTTCTGATCTATAGAGTAATAAAACAATGGCCATTTTATATGTGTTTAAAGGAAATATTTCTGTACAATTACCACATTGTAAGTTAAAAAATTTCCCTTAGTGTCCATAATATGATTTTTTCTATCCATGGAAACAAAGATTCTATCTCTGTCTTGGCCTAAGCTCTATTCTGTTGTGGTTGCTTCCAGATGCTTCCCCCACCCCCAGCTCTTCCGACAGCCACCATTAAGGAATCTTTTACTGCTTGAAAAAGTTTTAATATTCAGCAGGTTAAGAAAACCCACGGTCAGCTTTAGAATTTTAGTCTCTGCTGAGCTTTCAAGGTGTCAAGACCCTAAAATAATATGAACAGCAGGAGTACTAAATCTTTCATTATTTCCGGTTTCCCCTTGAGCATACTGACTTGGCAATAAAGAAGCTGTCATTTACACTCTTCTGTATTGCAAGGTGGGTAATAGCTACAGGGAGGAAAATAAGGAACTGTGTTGAGTTAGCCTGACTGCCATTGTGATTAATGTGTAATCATTGCACATTTGCATCTACTCTTTTTATGTACAGGTACTTCATAGATTGGAAGAGTGATGGGGACGGCTACTTTACAATAGACGGAACTGAAGGAACCATCGCCACTAATGAATTACTGGACAGAGAAAGCACCGCGCAGTATAATTTCTCCATAATTGCGAGTAAAGTTAGTAAGTATGGCACGGACAGAATCAATGTTATACTGCATTTCTGTGGATTTAACACTCTTAAATGCGTCCCTGCTGAGGTGTTTTTCATTTTTAGACTGACAGCTCAGTGGTCTCCTGGGCAAACTCAGAAACCTGTTCCTTTTCCTCATAGCATAAGTCCAGAAAAATTGTGACAGCTGCCAATGAGCCCTGTTTGCAAGACTGCATGAATATCTAGTAGTGAATTTCATTGTATGACCTCATCCCTTTCCACGCTGTACCCTCAAAAATCCCCCGGAGTTCCAATTTCTCTTCCATACCAGATCCCTGTAGATATTATTGGGAGCTTCACAGACCAGGCAGGAGGAAATAATTATCACATAAAATCACCCATTCTGAAGTATTTTCTGAAATTGAAGAGAGCATTTTTTAAGTCCTCCCTCTTTCTTCTCTCTCCTTTCATTAGAATGTAATTTTTATGAATATCACTGTGGAATATACAGGAGTTTTAAGTACCATTCTTCAAGGAATCACTCAGAATCTATACGATTGTTAGGAATGATTCCTTGTGTTGGTTTCTACTTGGCCCAGAAAAGAGTACTCTAGGCTGAGAGTGATTATAGGTCTTAATTGTTTGGCTAGACAATCAAGGATATTATCAGAACTTCCCAAGGTAACAGATTAGGGTAGGAGTGACGACATTCAGCTGTCAACATGCTTGTTCGTAATAGAAGTGCACCTTACCAATCCTTCAGTTTACGGTCTCTTGAAAGATTTAGGGAACTCCCTTCTGCGTATCTTTCACTTTGTTTTCATCCTATTTCATTTTGTGCATCTGGTACAAACACTTTGGCAGCTAATTTCACCTTTCAATGCAGGGAAAAGCTAACTGTGAATATTTCTGTTGAGACGTTTTTGATCAATCTCAACTCAGTGGGGTATAAATATGAGACAGTTATTTTTATCTTCAACAACTGCTTCCAAAGATGAATAGTCAAACACCTATTCCCAGGCCTTAAGGACGTCTTTAGCTGATTTCATTACTTTTAGGTTATTCTGATTATTAAAGGTAAGCCTAACATAAAAAAACATGCAGCTTCTACCTTGTTCTTTGGAACATTGACCTGTCTGGTAAGAAGGCTGACTTCCCCGAGGCTGCCATATTAAAGTTCTTACGTTGGGGGTCAGGTTGATCATCTAGCTCAGCTCAGCCTTCCAGCCATACCTGCCAGCATGCTGTTTATGTAAGTGAAACTATCTTGGAATCTCTAGTCCAGACCACTTGCCAGCTGAATACCACAACGTAACCTCTGTCAATGCCTTGTGAAATGAAATATACACCCAGCCAAACTTTGCCCAGATTCTTACCTCCAAAATTGTGAGAAATACTAAAATTGTAATTATTTCAAGCAACTACATTTTGTGATCGTTTGTTGTTACCTGGCTTTAGATAACTGTAGAACTCAATGACACTGTAAGTTGGAACTATGATTTTGCTGGTGGTGGTACAGATTCTCCAGTCAGTTGGAGTGGAAATGAGAGAGAGAAATAAAAATGCACAAATCTCTCTTATCTGCCCCCATATAGTGCTCCGTTGGTTGCTACTGCTTCTAGGGCTAAAATGGACTGGCAGTAGAGGCAGTTGCCAAACACTGTCTTCTTAGATGATTTTTGACTTATTTGATGCTGAGGACTCTGGCGTCCCATCTGCATAGGAACTTGATAGGGGCACCCAGTGGTAGACCTTACAGCTTCTTAATTCCAGGGACCCCTTGTGCAACAGGCAGCCTTCTTGGGTGACTTAGTAGCATGATTTCTCAATTGTAGCTTTCAGTTGTGCCCACTTGACCCTGAGAAAATTCACACACCCTTGTCATGCTAAACAGGTGCATTACAGGCTGCTCTTCTACTCTATGCTTTCTCTGTCCTGCCTTCAAATCTCCATTTGAATCTGCCTTAAGGCTCTGAATGCAGATCATCCAGTCAGCTGCCTGGGCAGATACACTGAGAACAGAATGCCAGTCTCCCCTTTCTGGAGCCCCACCATTCTCTTTGTTTTCCTGAAGTCTCCTTTCACACGTGGCATCTTACATCCCTCCTGTACCACATCCTATTACAGTTATGTATGTTATTCATTCTTTCTTTCCTGCCAACTTTCAATTATTTCATTCATCCAGAATGTTGGGGACAGCTTAACCACATTGTACTTAGAAAATAAACTTTAGTTTACTAAGATCTTTGGCAAGTAGAGTGAAAATGAGTTGTCTAAGTTAGAGAGTAGAAGACCTCTGTGAACTATGTTACATTCACGCTAATGGCTTGGACATAGTAAGTGACAACTCACCAGAGGAAGTCTCTTCAAATAACTTCTATTTATAAAGACATATTGTCCATAATAAAAGATTGTTCATTAGAAAACTATCTAATCTAACCTAAACTTTCCTATTAATACACACAGAAAACATGTGCTTATTTTTAAGTAGGAGTAATAGGCTCCTGTACCTTAACTCGAGATGAAAGTCTGCAGATAGTTCATTAATCACCTGTGTTGTGGCTCTGGAAGGTCTCTCTCCCTAATGGCTACCTAGACCACCAAAAGCATCATCATGGTATGAGGGCTCTAATGGTAGCAGGTCTGGCATCTCCAGTCAGAACCTTGAGCTTCAACCATTTGGAAAATGCACCCTTACAACGGAAGCAAGTATCATTGATCCTCAAAAGCTTGTATTTTTTAAAACTAGGGGAACCCTATTTTTTAAATTCTCTATATGATTAGGGTATAGGCTGGCTCTGCCACTCCAACCTGCTGGCTGCAGTTTTTGCCTAAATGCAAATGAGGACACCCTTGTGTGTGGATCTCATAAGTTATGTTGGTCCTTGCTGGGACACATGTAGAACTGAAACTTAGACACATAATCCATATATATACACAATATAAGTGTAATACCAAACTAATATTTCTAAAATATCTACCCCAGGTCTATTCTAGTACCTATACAAAGACCACTGTGTGGATTTTAGATCTTTTGAGAAAGTCTGCTGGAGTAAACACTATATGTCTGTGTGAAAAATAAAGAAACTAAACACACACACCATGGGATCATTGACGATTCAGTAGTAAGAATAGCTTATTCTGGGCTTTATTTTGCTTGAGTTTACAGAGTTTAAAAGTAAATTTTACTCATATTCTAATGCATAAGGCTGTTTTCATTGATCAGTGAGCCAGCTGAGCAGGAAACTATCATCACAGTGAATGGCTGAGAAATACATAGTCCACACTTGCCCTGCCAAGAAGAACAAAAAGGTGTAAATACACCTTATTGCAGCTTGAACCAGCATATGTTTGGGCTTTGACCCTTCTATAAAAACTCACAGGTGAAATGAAATGGTAAGATGAACAACTTCCAATTAATTGAAAAGCAGTCATTAATCAGTGTTGCTGTAGTTGTAGGACCAAATAATTTTATTAGACTCCTAATAATTCTTTTGTGCATTACTGCTTGGCTGTTTTTATGATACTAATCTTGAGAACGTTAGAAGAGACCGAAGCTCCAAAAATTCACTTCATTCAAATTATCAGAAACTTTCAACATGCAAATGTTTCTAATTTTTTGTTTTCTTTTGTGTTTTTATGTTACTATAACAAATATCATTAGGCAAAGATAACTAAAAATAACTACATTAAAGCCCTAAAACATATCTTATGTAATTATAAAATAAACAGATGATACCAGAGTCAAGTCTTCTTTTCTTGGTCGTGTAGTTATCCAGATGGCAATGGATTGCTTTCATTCATTGCAGAATAGGTAAAAAAAATCAGTGAATTGACTTACTAAATGCTATATTTGGGGGAAATTTTGTATGTGAATATATCATTATAAGTTTGGATTAAATGGCTGAGTAGTTGATTTTTAAGGTTATTTGGTATATAGAGCTATATTGTTAAAACTTCTCTTCAACATAATTCAAGTGATGTCATCTTCATATGTACAGAAAAATCAAACTCTTAGATTACTATCCATAATTCAGGCACAACATAAATTCATACATTTTTTTAATAAACTTGAACAGAATATCATTTATGTACAAAGCACTATTAGTTGTGGGTTATGAAAAAACTGACTGAAGTGTATTCTTAAGCATTTTAAAATTTAGGAGTAGTTCAAAATTGACCAAAATAGAGAATTTTATTAAGTTATAACTATACAAATTACACTGAATTCCAGGGACTTCATATTTAAGTATACCCTCGTATAATCTCCAGGGGGAAGTTGAAAAAGGTTATGACTGACCAGAGTGTGGTCACTAAGTGATGAAGGATTTAAATGGAAAGAAATAGATTTTGTGTAGAATTTTCTGAAGGATTTCATCTGCCTATATGCCAAATACTTAGCCGTGAAATGATGTTCTTAGACCAAATGAGAAGAAAGTACCTAATTTTTTTGACTAATAGTAATAATAATATAAACTAATAAACTAAACTATTCTAATAGCTTCATATACATTAAGTCAGAGTGAGTATTATTGTCCAAATTTAGGAGTGAGAAAATGGAGGCTCAGAGATATTTTCTTTGTAGCCCTGTGCCACACAATGAATGATGATCAAGCTAAGATGAGTCCTGGACTCTATCTTACTCAAAAACATAATTCCACAGGGACAACTATTAAATTGCCTATGCTTCATTTTACTTATTTTAAATAAGTTAGTAGTAAAACTAGTCAGAGTGATTTTCATATGCATAGATGATTAAGTACAATGTAGTAAAAAATTATATATACATTTGCAATACACATATAATTGGATTGAAATTATTGTTAGTCTTGATTATCTATCATCTCTCTATCTATCATCATCTATCTATATTTAAGCTTGTTAGATTGCTTAACTATTAGAATTCTATAGTGAATTTGCATTCTAGAAATAAAATAAAAAGACAAAATATGGGAATAGGAAAACATATGTGCAATATTAAGTGTGTGACAGTGGTGTATTTAGGTAGATTTCTATCTATGCCCAATAAGCATGTATTACTAGATCAGTCTCAAGCTGCAACAAGAGTTCCTAAAGATTTCATCGTGAAGGATCCTTTTTCATAATTTCCCTGTGTATTGAAAGATTTTGTTGACCTTTGCTGCATCGCCTCCTATATGCTGGCCGCTCTCGGGGACAATGCCTTCCTCTGTGCCAAGGACATCAAGAAGATCCTGGATAGTGTGGGCGTTAAGGTGGACCCATGACCAGCTCAACAAGTTCTTCAGTGAGCTGAACAGAAAAACACTGAAGAATCGTTGCCCAGAGGATCACCAAGCTGGCCAGCATGACAGCGGTAGGCTGTGGCCTTCTCCAGCACCCCGGGATCTGCATCTCCTGCTGCTGGTTCCCCCCCAGCCACAGCAGAGAAGAAGACAGACCAGAAGAAGGAGGAGTCGGAGGAGCCAGTGAGGACATGGGATTGGCTTGTTTGACTAGAGTCCTGCTCCGCTGCAAAAGTGATAAGATGTCATTTCTGACATCACAGGTATCACTTTTGCCACATTCTATTCAGTAGAAGCTAGTCACTAGATCCAAGCCGCACTTAAGAGTAGGGAGTTACGTGACAGTAACTCACGTGGATATCAGGAAGTAGGAATTATTGGGAGCCACTTTAGAAGGTTCCCTACCATTTGTAGTTCTTGGCAACCAGTGAAGTCACTCTTAAAATGAAGAAAGTTTAGAGACCATATTACCTGGCCCTAGGCACTGAAAATACTGTGAGAAATGCAATCTGGCTGAATTCATTAAGTATACAACCAAAAAACCAAGTGCTGTAAGAAAGAAAATAATTAAAATAATTATTTGGGGAGGAATAAACATAGTAAGTCACACAGGAATTGTCATTCGAGTTGAGTCTTTAAAATATGAAAAAGATATTGTAAGGGAGGTAAGAAAGGTATTCTGGGTTGAAGAAACATCCCAAGCAAAGGCATAGAAATATCAAAGTTCATGTTGAGACCAGATGTTGCAAATAGGTTGGTACAGTGTGTATCAAGGGTGCCTATTGGGAGGTAGAGAAAATGCATTCAGAAAGGAAGCCTGAGATCTACTCTCTTAGCGACTTTCAAATATACAATACAGTATTATTAACTATAGTCACCATACTGTACAGTACATCCCCGGGACTTATTGATTTTATATCTGGAATTTTGTACCTTCTGACCCCCTTTACCTTTTTCGCCTACTGCTTACCCCTCGCTTCTGGTAACCACTTCACAACATATACAAATATCAAATCATTATGTTGTACATCTGAAAGTACTATAATGTTATATGTCAATTATATCTCAGTAAAAAAAAGCAAAGAAAGGAAGGCTGAGGCTTTATCAAACAGCCTTAAATGCCTCACTGAGAAATTACAACATTTTTCAGGCAGGCGTATGAGCCTGTCCTTATTCCTGTTGTCTCTACTATGTGTCCCCAGCTTAGCGTACATCCAAAGAGGCATATATCACTTCTCCAACTCTCCCAGTCTGGTGAGTGTGGAAGGTGGTTATGCTCTGGACCTTCATTCCTATAAGCCAGCACTGATCGCCTTACATTTATCTGCCTGGGTGACTATGGTTAACTTCACCAAAATCAGGAGACAAGGGTGAGTCTGGATTCTCTGCAGTGTCTGAGCAGCAGACACTCCTCTCTAGTTTGGCCAATCTTTTTTTCAGAAAGATATTATTAATTCTCTCACATTAATTGAGAATGAGCATGCTTGAGTTGGCCCTTTCTTCTTACAACTCTTCCTCAACTTCTCAGTCATTGTCACCTGCATCAGAATCACCTGGGAGAGTTTTTGAAGGACAGATTCCTAGATCTGTCATATTCAAGACATATTGAATCAGAATTTCTGGGAGTATTGCCAAGAAATCTCCGTTTTAAACAAGCTCTCTACGTCTTCTAATGGACACTGATTTTGGAACTAACATGCCAGACTCTCCAGCATCCTGAAGATGAACATAGATTTTGGGAAACAGAACAGTGGAATCAGCTATCATGTGTAAATGTACTTACTCAGAGAGTATAGTTCACTTTTGAGGGCTAAATGTAACCATTGGCTTCAATTCTGGATTGGAGTCATTTTTTCTTCCTTCTCTTGCCCTGATTACCTTTCTCTTACTTTTCATGAATGTCTTACTTTACATGTATGAGTCTAGGTAGTTTATCTACCATTTTCTGATTATCTTTCTTTTTCCCAAGTGACTGTATGAAACTATTTTGTTTTCTCAAAGAAAGGTAAGTTTGATTTATACTAGTATTGGCAGCTTTTCAGTATTACTTGTAAGAGTAATAATTTGAAGAAAGAATCACTTATAAATATTCACACAGTTTTATAAAGCCTTACAATGTATCATATACCTAGAAATAATAATCATTAACACCATCATAATCCTCAACTTAATTTAGAAATGATACCATTTTTATCACTGTTTTATGCTGTGTAAATATAATGGAATCCAAATTTGTGTTGCAATAGCTTATATTTTGTTTTAAACTTTCAACTGCTTATGGGTACACTACCATAATCAAATTGCTTAGGAGTACTTTAAATCAGTATAATTGCACCATCAAAATCACATACACAACAATAATGCCAGGCTTGTTTTTTTTCTTAATTAGCATCTGACCTTCTCAGGAAATTAAAACTTAGCATTTCACCTAAAGGTTGAAATTTGGATAAAAAATGATATTTAGATATATACAGAAAATTCATTTTAATATAATATACCAAAAATAGAATTCAAAAATAGGAAACATTTTTACATGGAAAATGCTTTTTTATTGACATCATGCACTATACTGTATTTCACCTATTTGTATTGTTATCCTCTCAAGTAGAACTTCTTAATTTCAAGGACTTTATCTTATACATCTTTGACGTCCGTGGTCTATCATACTCTCTGGAACATATGGATATGTACATAATTAATGAATAAATTGTGAGTAGCTTTATACTTGTATGAAATATGTGTTACATCCTAAGTGAAAAATATTATATCATAACTTTTGTTTATTAATTTTTTAAGAAATTTATATCCATCATGAGTATAAATGTAACAGCAATATTTTACTACTCATTCATTTATTTATTCCTTGGTATATGTTAAAGCCCATCCTTCGTATTCAGAACATAAGGTTTACAGAGAAAAAATATCTTTCTCAGATGAGCTTACAGTCTAATGGGCTCCCGCATGGTAAACTGGCCATAAATACCATGTATAAAGTTAACATGGAAACTAAGCAAAGAAGCAGGGCTTTATGGGAGCACACAGAAAGATATGAGGAAAATCCTCCACAAGAACACAGTATCTAAACTGAAAGGTAGAAGATTAGAAAGGAAATAGTGAAAGGAGAGTAAAAAGTGTTCTAGGTGATGGAAATGGCATACGCCAAGCTGTGGAAGTGGAAGAAAGCACAGGATACACAAAGGAACATAAAGTAATTCAATATAGCAAAAAATAGAAATTAAGGGTGAGTAAAAGGCAAAGCTCTTCTGTCTTTCTGTCTCACTCGTTCTCTGTATCTCTGTCTCTCTGTGTCTGTCTGTCTTTCTCTCTCCATACTTATCTCTTCCCACTCATCCTCTCCCACTAATAAAGAGAATTTAGATAAGAAATATGAAGGGTCTTTTCCAGCATGCTATGTTGTTTTGATTTTATCCTGCAGTAAATAGGTAAACATTGAAGAGATGTGATCAAACACAGAACTTGATTTGACTGGTATTTTTGAAAATATATGCTGGTTGCAGAATTGAGAAAGAGTTGGCGGAAAGCAGGGTTAGATAATGGTGGGAAAAATGGTAGAAATATTTTGCAGTAATCTAAGAAAGAAACTTTGATGACTTGTAGAGTAATGGCAGGGATGATAAAAAAGAAATGGAGAAATTTGAGAGAAAGTTTAGAGGTGAAATTGATGAGAACTGATATTGATTGGATGTGGGAATGAGGTGAATGAGGAGTCACCATTAATGGTCAGATTTCTAGATAGACAGCAGGGAGACTGGTGGTACTGTAAACTGAGGTAGGAAATACAGAAATAGAAACAGTGGTATTGTGCAAAGATTCTGAGTTCAGTTTTGACCAGATTGAATTTGATATTCTTGATGCTTATATAAGTAGTTATGTAATCATTGTGTACACTGGTCAAGAAATCAGAAGAGGGATTAGGTTTGATAAATAAATTTGGGATTTATCTACATTTAGATTATAATAAATATGTGAGCATGAAAGATGGGAAGAAAAGTGGGTCAATGATGTGCACTTAAGCCACTTAAGGGGTGGGCAAAAAGACAAGCAGAAAGATCGGAAAAGAACAAACTTCTAAAGGTAGAAGTGAACAGAGATATATTTAGGTGATAGAAACAAAATTTTAGTCAAGTAATTTGATGAAGAATGTAGGAGAAAGGGAAGAGTAGAGGATAAAACATAGCTTTGTATTTTGTGCATTATATTCTCATTGCGACTGTGACTTGGTTGATTATAATGAATAGAAAATAATATATAATCATAGACTATTAACAGTTTATTATATTTTTGCAAGTGCATGTTTCAGAAATTTGGTTGTTTACTGACTAACATCTATTACTACTTGTATACAATTGCCTGTTTTTAGTTAAATCAGTAATGAGTCTTACATGCCTCCAAAATACTAATTTAATTTTGCTCTGATTATATCAAAGAAAGTCACTTGAGAAGAATTTTTTAAAATTACAGATAGTTTAACATAAAGTGAAATGACATCTAAAGTTAAGTCTTGTTGACCTTGGGTGAATTCAAGGAAAATATGTTAACTCTCATGATGTCAGCAGGTCATGATCTACAGAGGTTTCCTGGTACATCAGCTGCATCTAACCCACTTTTGCTTCTCAGTTCGGTCTATTATTATTATTTTTTTTTTGCTGAGGAAGATTCACCTTGATCTAACATCTGTGCCAATCTTCCTCTATTTTGTGTGTGGGTCGCTGCACAACATAGCTGCTGACAAGTGTAGGTCTGTGACTGGGAATCGAACCTAGGCTGCTGAAGCAGAGTGTGCCAAACTTAACCACCAGGCCATGGGGCTGGCCCCAGTTCAGTCTATTTTTGAAAGTATATTTATTCATCAATATATCCAAATTGCTAACAAGTACTAGTCACTGCGTTAATCTCTGGAAGTTTAAAGGTGAATATGACTCAGTTCCTACTCTCAAAGAACTAAGAATGTCTAAGGCTTTATGTATTGCAAATATTTGGAATCAATGATAGGTTTTCCCTACTGTTTTCACTGGAAAAATAAATTGATTGGTGGTATTGTTAAGGATTTCTTTTTCTTTGGAGATCAGTTTTTGTCACCAGCAGGATAGAAGGTAGTATTTGACTCTTTAGCATAGGTATATATGAATAATTTAAATCTTTATGGGTTGCTCAGTCTACCTACCAATCATACTACTGTAATTGAACAGAACTATTATTTGACATG